CAATCTTAAAAAATTATTTCCATGTCAAAAAAGTCATAGTTTGTCGAAAAACTGTTGAAATATACACTGAACAAAAATATAAATGCAACACTTTTGTTTTTGCTCCCATTTTTCATGAGATGAACTCAAAGATCTAAAACATTTTCTATATACACAAAATAACCATGTCTCTCAAATATTGTTCACAAATCTGAAAAGATCTGTGATAGTGAGCACTTCTCCTGTGCCTAGATAATCCATCCCACCTCACAGGTGTGGCATATCAAGTGTGACTAGGCCCCCTCAGACCCCCCCAATAAAGCAAAAATGCACGTTTCAGAGTGGCCTTTTATTGTGGCCAGCCTAAGGCACACCTGTGCAATAATCATGCTGTCTAATCAGCATCTTGATATGCCACACCTGTGAGGAAGGATGGATTATCTCGGGATAGGAGAAGTGCTCACTATCACAGATTTTTTCAGATTTGTGAACAATATTTGAGAGAAATGGTTATTTTGTGTATATAGAAAATGTTTTAGATCTTTGAGTTCATCTCATGAAAAATGGGAGCAAAAACAAAGTGTTGCGTTTATATTTTTGTTCAGTGTATTATGACATACTGTATTCATCATGTTTTGCAAAACACATTAAACTTCTTCTGGTATAACCTTTATATATACGTGTATAACACAGCAGATCAGACATTCTTCCTCCTCCTTGAATATCTCTAAATGTAAACATAAGTTCTTTCATAGGCTGACATTTATGTGGCGTGTTCCTCAAGTGGTTCACTTCGGTGTTAAATATATTCAGGGACACATTAAAAAACACACAAAAAGCCCATGTTGGTTTGGAGATTCCGAATCTTAAAGCGTGAATCTTGTAATACAGGACCTTTCTTGTCCACTGCTTTGATTTTCATAAGATTTATTTGATGTCTGAAAGGTGATGTCAACTAGTAAAGGCAAACTAAAAACGACCAGGACATATTGTACACATGCAGAATGAACTCATTTTAATGACACCTTTGTAACATGTATGTACGTACGCTGCATGTGGCCCACACGGATTGAGGCAGGAAATGTGGTTTCAGGCTTACAGCTATGACATGAAACAGAGGCAGAGTTAAGTCAGTCAGTGGGCTGGTGGTTGCACCATTGTCTCGGTTCTTATGAAGGACGATTGGTGGTATCGGTGACGAGAGGCAAAGTCTGCATTTTCCTCCGTCAGCTGCTTGGTTTTCAGCCCGACCCCGGACAGAGAGGGGGTGACTACGATCTCATCCTGAGGGGACCCTTTCCCCCTGAAGACAGGGAGAGAAATAGGCTTTAGGGACATAGGAAATGACGCATCACTGGAAAAATAAAGATCACATTTCTTAGCAATACAACAATTAATTGATTAAGTCAGGCATTTACTTTTTATTTAGTTCCTTTATAAATGATCTGGACTTAGACATTCTTATGATGAATTGCATTTTAATGTCTTATTTGTCCTACAAGCAGTCATTCTTATAACTTGATTCTTTACTGATCATTATGTATCATAGCAACCACACAATACCTGCAAATGCTTTTCAACGATGACTTGAGCCACACGAAAAAGCTGAATCGAGCTGCAATACCTGCAAATAAATCAAAACTTATCTGGAGAAATTAGCTCAATGGGTTGGTTATTTCAAAAACTAGCCTCAGTTAAACCATTAAAAACACATGCAATCACAGTCATAGATTTACATTTTCTGAGTTTATTGTGTCATAATTTGAAGTTGTAAGAGTGCACAGAGGAGTGGTTACGCACAGCATCACATTGACCACCTGTGGGACAAGTGTTTAACACTTGCGGAGCTTGTGCTCAGAAATGTTGTGAGTCAGACAGCCAAGACACGCTGCACTGTGGTGAGTTTATAGCACAGATGCTGCTGGGTGTCTCATCCAGCTATTCTAGAAATCCTAAGCCACAACAGCTGCCAGCCTGCCAGGCAAAAAGAGTGCAAGTGATACTCCCAGAAAAGTGCCAGTGAACGTTACCAGGTCACATTACAACTGAGCGCGGGGTGACACATGTAAATGCTTAAAAAGGTAAATAGCACATCAAGAGGTCTATTGTTGAACATAATGGGATCATCTAGAGCTAAATATATACACAGCAAAGAACAAAAAAAAGAGGCGTAAAAGTAGGCCCCGACTTGTTTTATTTCTTGAAAGTAGCTCTCATCCTAAAAAAGGTTGGTGACCCCTGATCTAGATGATGTAAAAATCGTGATTCAGCCCTTTTCTTTTTACATCTACAGACTACTCATACTTTTATACAAGTCCTAAGACATTCAAATACTTAGAAAGCTATTCTTTTTTTAAAAATTGCTTTCATTATCTGAGGTTATATTGTCAGTAAAAAAGAATATCCTAGTTAAACAAATGCTAGCCTTTACAATACATTTAACTCATGCCTGAGTCAATTGTATTTCTACAATTGGAACAGGCATATGGATTGGCTCTGGTCTGTGTAAGTTAATTGATTGAATCAGGGTTCGAGTTATGTGGGAGCCAATGGGAGCTGAGCTCCCATAAGGAGGGGTCTGAGCTCCCACGGACGCAGTGAAATCAAACATCTGTGGGGGTCGCTAATACATTACCAACAACCAGTAGTCGAGTTGAGGGGGGATGGGGGGGGATGGCATCCCCCTTAGGTATTAAAATGGTCAAAACCATCCCCCTTATGAAACGGCCATCCCCCCTTCCCATCCCCTGTTATTTGATCAATTAATGTGGAAATATTGCCAATGTTTAATTTTCAACATTCTACATTTTATATGTGCACGTCACGTGCCCCTCGTCGACATTATTTTAGCCGCTAAAATACTGT